ACTTTGTGGTCTGCAAGAGCTTCAAAAATGCATTAATGTTTTAAAATGTGCGTATGCTGCTTATCTCCCTCAATGCATGTTAATTATTTTAATCCCACCAGTAAAAGTCTTTTCTTTTAATAGTATTTCTCAATGTTTATTTCACATTTAGTCAGTCATACACATAATAGGAAGTGTTAAAATGCTGTTTCTATGCAGGAAATACCATGTAGAGCTTGGTTAGTTTGTTATTGTTAGCAATGAGACGAGCAATGTGATGTTTCTTGTTTAGTTGAACTTAAGCACAAAATGCTGAACTCGGTTAAAACTGGCCATTTGAGGGCCACCATGAGGCCCTCGGTGAAAATGGGTTTGACACCCCTGTTCTAAGCAGTAAGGCATCATGTGGCCTATGCCAGCTTAAGTCGCAGATCATTTCCAGTGATCCTGAATTCTGTACAGTACTTTCTCTCAGTGACGCTGGAAAACTGCACTTCAACAACAATGAACACTTTTTTTACAGAATTAGCAAAATAAGCCTCCAGCAGCAGTTTTAACCAAAAATAAGAAAGCCTGTTCAAAGTCTGAGATTTTCACACCTGTTGATTTTTTTTGTGCTGACAACTAACCACTCAGCCACCTGTGGCTATTGTTCATTGAGAAAAGTCTTCCCACATAAAAAAAGAAGAAAATCCTTTCCTGTTGTTGCAGATTAAGGGGAAATAATGCAAACAGGTAAAGGAATCTCTGCTGTGCCAGCTGTTCTACTCAACACCACAGAGAGCGAATGATTCAAACAGATTTTAATATTAGAAGCCCTAGCAAAAAAAGTTGGGAAATTAGTGTTTGGTTTTTTGACGTAACAATGCTTTTTGGCAATAAGTCTTAAATTGTTTTTTTTTTTCCTTGAATGGCGTCACGTTTGTTAGGAAAATACAAAATTACTTTTTTTGTAACAATTTGCTGTTACACAATAAATTTGTGTTTTGTCAAAACACCACCAGAAGCTTGTGGAAACTGCAGAGACAGACTGTACCATTCACCACCACAGCTGAGGCAACAGGTACTTAAGGGTCTCTCACTCAAAAGGCTTTACTTTGTACGCAGATCCTCAACATCATAAACATTCCCTTCATTTTTCACATAATCTCACTGAAATGGCATTGCTTTTTAGTTAAGATTTGCCTCTTTAAAATGACTTTTAAAAGCTTACGAGCTCAGCAAGCCACCAATATAATAATATATTATGTACTGTGCAAGTTGGATTATTGTCAGTTCTTTCAAATTAGAAAAAAAAGATTGTTTCTGAGTAAAAACCATAGAGGAAACTTTATCTCTATGCTGTTGTTCGAAATCTATGCAGGGAATGAAAGCTTGTCGCATGTATCCTCCCTCACTTTTAATAACTGAATAGTTATCTTTCCTAGGATGTCYAACATATCTATAAGAAATGATATATCCTACCAACCCAGGTGTATGTAGCTTCTGTATACATACAGCCAAACAATATGCAAGAAGTCCTGCCAACTGGAGCTTCTTGTGTGTACAAGATGGAGGAGAAAAAAACAGCTGAAACTGTTATTGCTCCAAAGAGAGCACAACAGTGGATGTTATAGTGATTAACACTGCGTCATCCCCCAAACAGACAGAACAAATGTCTGGCAGCTGCTTAAAGTAGCCGCGCTGATTGTGTGGGAAGCCTGATGTTGGGTGAGCCTTCAGAGGTATTACCCAACCCACACAGTAACACTACACGATCAAAGCCGAGTCAAAAATGTCATTTCTCTCAGTTACTTGATGGGTTGACTTAAGAGTATGCCAGAGAAATAGGCAACAGACACTTAACTGTAAACAAAATGGGTATATAAGAGGGGAAACAGAAGGTACTGAACTTATGGGGCTACTTTTGTGAGAAGAAAAAAAGTGGGTCAATCAGGTCATTTCACCAAATATCCGATWAGACTTGATAAGAAAATGTGTTCATAAAAAAAAATTGTTATGAATTCAAATTTGTGTAAAGTCACCCACTCTAAAGCCACTCCATKCATGGTCTCCATCAACACACTATGACCAATCAGCACAAATCTACCTTATATAAAATATATAAAAAATATATTTCTTTACAAAAGACATTATTGTTACAAAATGTGGTGAATTTTACAGTCCATTACTGTTCTAGTTACCCTGTTTGTATATGAAATAACATGAGTAGCATCAGATTACAGCAAACCAAAATCCTATTACTGAAATAACAGACCATATAAAAAAAAAATGTAGATTTTAAAACATCAACTCCAAACCAATTCCTTGCCGAATGACTCTAGGAAAGTTAAGACGGGAAGAAAGATCTAGGAGGAGCCCAAGATGGGGAGACTAAATTAGCAAACTGTGTGTTTTCTGTGGTCTTGGCATTGAGGAGATCCCAAAGGAAAGCTAATGACTGTAGTGGTATCTGGCATGCGGACAAACTTTCCTTGACCATATTTAAGCTGCTTCCAGTCCATAGCCACGAACTCTAAGGCAACATCTGCGGCGCTATCTTAAAATTATAGCATTATCAAGGCCTTTCCTCCCAATTTTTTCCATTATGAGTTACTTTTGCTTAGTTTTTTTTTACCAAAATTTGTACTTTTAAAAACTATCATGGATATAAGGAAAAACATTTTTTGCAAATGTTAGAAGCACTGCATTAAAATATTTTATAGCATGAGAAAAAAACTAAAACTAAAAACATGCTAAAAAAGCATTTGATTTAAGCTTAAGAGCCTGTTGTAAAGATCCCATTTAATCACAAGTCCTACAATGCTGGATAAAAATCTGTCCAGTGTGGTATCTCTATCTCATTGCAGCATATTGAGTTAGGTTAGCATAGCTTTCATTGTCGAGCTTGTTGTGTTTTAATCTTGATTTGTAACAAGAATAGACTGGAATTTTTCAGACATGACAGGCAGGTAAACAAAGTGAGCTGAACTATTTTGTCCCAACATTTATCTAAAGTAGTACAACCAACTCTTTAAAAAAAACTTTACTGCTTGAGAAATTTGTCAAGAAATTAAAAGCAAGCTGACTGCATTTTTCATTTAAACAACTAAAAAAGCTGCTAAAGTTTTAAAGTTGAAATTTCAGCTTCATGGGAGGCACAACAATGGGGCAAAGTGACCCCAGTTTGATGCTGAACCCCAGTGACCTCTCATCTGTCTAAAGTGCCCTAAACAAGAAGAGGAGTGGCCTGATTTTTATTGTCTCAGCATGAGAAAAGAACAGGGAGCTGCTTGAGTTTGATGGATGGGGGCCAACTGGGAAAAGTAGGGTTGGGATAAAAAAAAATAAAAAAAAAACTTATCCCGCCATAAAACTCAACTCTCCCAGCTTTCATGTATACAGATCCTCTTGTGTTTAAGTGTGTTGGCGTGTCTAGATAACAGAGAAGCTGTGTTATCAAGTGATTCATACATACAGGGCAGTTACAATAAAAGGCTCTACATTCAAGTCTTTAATAGACTTTTTTTCTTTAAAGTCAACTACAGAGCAGTGGAGGTGGTGTGGATGAGTACATGGAGCAACTCTTTCCCCTTTAATTTTAACATGGAGTATTGAATCAAACAAAGGCAGAGGCAGCAGCGGTATGAGACATGTGTCTAACTGCTGAATCAGGCTGCTGAAACCACCACTGAGGTGGTGAAGCAAGTTAAGACTGGTAGACGCTATATAAACATAAATGGTCAATCTGCCGTGTCAAGATGGATCATTGGAAGCGCCCATTACATGAACAAGATACTAATCTAGAATGTGCTGTTAACGGGTGACTCAGAATTACTCACGGTGGAAAGCTAGCAGACAAATTTTCTAAGTAAAACATCTGTTATGACATAATAAACAGACCTCACCCCGAGTCAAAATTAGAAAGCAAAAAAGGACATGGAAGGTATAAGATGTTGTCATTGTTAGGTCTAAAACAGRTGAGACGTAATGTGTTGCTGATCTAAGTTGTATTGTTCATTTTTTCCACACCATTTTTCCCCGCAGACTGTTCAAGCCTGAATAACGCTGGAAGCCTTTTTTTTTTCCAAGTGAAGGTTTTGGACCTGTAGATGTGCCAAAGTCTAATGAAACAGAGCAAACCAGAGCAAGGGTATTTGCTAAATGCACCAATGCTTCTGGGTATAAAATTTATTCACAAAACCTAAAAAAAAATGCTCACAGAATATTCAGAAAACCCTTGCAGTTTCAAGTTGTGTAAAAGAGGGTGGCTTAAAATGAACTCAAAGCACTAAATGCCATCTGAAATGGGTTTCTAATGTCACTCGATCACAACTGTTTACTTCAGACAATATGAGTGTAGAGGAATAAAGAGTCTGCTTGGGTTAATATAAATGGACAGTGAAGCCCAATGACCCAAAACATACTAAAAAAACAACACGGGGTTTCTGCGACTTGGGTGAAATATGGATGAGTGGACTTATCGATTCATCTTGATGAATACAAAACTGAAGGATAAAAGGCTTAAAAACCAATGACTACACAGCTTCAGTAAAGGCCTATCAATGCATCACAAAGAAGAAAACTCATTCTGTGGCAACATCTATAGTTTAAAGACTTATGGTGCTAAAAATCAGCTACTGTTGTGTTTTATTATTCTATTAAATGAACCTAAGTAAATGAAATTTAAAAGCAGCCCCAAGTCTTTTCAGTGTGAGTGCTTTAAATTTAAAATCCATCTAATAAACATGACTTAAGCAATTTTATGTTAAAAATAAAAATTAAAAGTTGCTTATATTTCTAGACCAAAAGTGTAGGTAAAGTGCTTTAAATGAAACTGAGATTAAACTTCAAGCTTACAAAAGCTTTGCTTTTTCAATTYTAAATTACTACGTCCAAACAAATAAAGAATCCTTACAAAGCAGAGTCTCCATGAAAAAAAAAAAAAAAAACTTCATGAACACAATGTGAGATTAGCAGCCGAGCCTAAGGGCTTGGGGTATCAGTTTCCTTTTTTTTTCTCCTCCTGAGATTTCACATACTTGAATCTTTCTTGCTCCCTTTGCCTCCATCTCTGTTCTTCTTCAGTACTGACTTGAACATGGCAAGACTCCTGGAATCCTGGCTTTACAGACCCTAAGAGTGGAAAAGAATGGATATGGTCATTCCTTTACATGTAGAATGAAGAATATACTTATGAAATGCATCAACTGCCACTCAAAACAATTGACATTTTCCTGCTACACACAGTTTTACATTTTAACTACTTGTTTACACCTATACCTGCAAATAAAAAAAAGCCATTTACAAAAGATTTTAGGCTGAATGTTTTAATGCCACCACCTGAAATTTGTCCTCAAAAACAGAGCATTGTGCAAATGGTGGAYATCCCAGTTTCATACTGAGCTTTCCCACAGCTCTCCCAAACCTGCAGGTCATCAGAGGAGGGAAGCATGGAAAGAATGCTTCAATATTTGAACAGAAAAGGACAAGTTCTGTTATCATGCCATGCAGGAAAACACTCTGTTGAATGCCCTGAATTCCACATGTAATTGATGTTATGTGCCCTGAGCTTTTGTGTTTTCAATTGATATCTACATCTCACAAGCTTATCTGTATTTTGAGTTCTTAAGAGTTAAACGCTACAAAATAAAGTCAAAAGTATGGCCTGGTGGTGCTTGTTTACTTTGGAATGGTTTGTGATTTAATGTTTTTGTACACTGGTCAAAAACATCCTTAAAGAAGCAGCAGCAAAACAGTAATTTGGGTCTTTTTCCCCCTTTTAACCCTCTAAAATGCATTGCAGCCTGCTTGCTGTACTGTATTAATAGCAGCTAGGCATTCCTTCCAATGAAAAGCAAAGACTGGTTTTACTTAATAAGGATAAGTCATCTGCAAACAAAACACACCATTCTCAACTAAAAGTCAGCCTCTAAATGTTTCTGGTCTTCATGCTGCTGCTCTGAGAGAAGCTATCGATTTGCCCTTTGATAGTGTCAGATGAAACTCTGAAGCAAAGCCTCAACCCAATTGGTTCTGGCGGGTGGAGGTGTATTAGTTAAAGCCTTTAAGTCTTTTCAATTCAGAACTGGCTGGACACATAATGAAGTTTTCAATAGGTGTAATCTCTGAAGCCAAACCTTAAATCAAAATGCTAAAGTTAAACTTTACTCTTTTTTTAAATCTATTTTTCCAATTTGACCCGTTTGGTTTTATGTTTTTGAGAAAGCTAAAATAGCTGATTCTAGATGTTAGGTATTTCTATCAATACATCGGTTCAGATAATAAGAATGGTGTCTTTTGTTTTCCACAGAATAGCGTAGGATTTGTTAGTTTTGTACAGTACAGTACAGTTCATGGCCTTGTTGATGGAGCTGTTGGCACATGTGTGGGAGCCTGCTGCTCATCTCCACAGTAACAATAAATACCACCCAGGAAAACATTCAGGAAATGAGAAACGCCCTCTTAAAACTCCAAAAGCCAACATGACAAATTCCTCCCATGCCCTCTGCCCTTTTAAAGCCACCAGACACAAACACTCATGCTGCCCACTGAGAATCAGACACTACAGTTTATATTGTAACAACTCTTTTCATTCTCAGGTAAGGGACTGGGACACGTCTACTAGGACTGCACAAAATATCACAACTTTTTTGTCATCGCAGTTACGGCCTGTAAAATAGGAATACCAAAAAAAACTGCAATGAATAATTGGCACAAATGTTTGATTTGTGCGTTTTGTCAAAAAAGTGGACCAGAGGTACCACATTAAATCACAACCACTTCGTCAGTGGATAATATGTTGCACAACTGCAATGAGAGAATTAGCAGCTGGATTTAGGTTGAACTTTTTTTTTTGAAGTCTTTAACTTATTCTCAAATGTTATTTATTTTTTTTAAATGATASTAGGGGCCATTTTTCAGTAAAGAGCATCAAAAAATGTTTTACAGTTACTACAGCAGCTGTGTCTAGAAGCACTGTATAATAAAACTGTCAGRTTGGAATGGAAATGATGTATTATTAGTTTATTTCACATTAACACTTCACACATATAAGTCATATAATTTCTATAATATTAAAGCACTGGTGTCACACATCACAGGTTTTCYTGATACAGTGTAGCCCTGACTAAGAGAACTGCAATTATAGTTTATCTATGATCATCTATACCAGTGGTTTTCAAAGTGGGGGTCTCAGAAAGCTGGAGAAAAATTAAATAAAAAAATTTAACCTAATAAATATTCTAAATCATCATCAAAAAATATGTTCTGTTTTTCAATCATTACTTTAAAATGTAAGTTATAATAATGTATTGAAATGTTATTTAAGAGAGCTTGAGATGTTTGATTTCTTTTGTCCTGTTCCTATCTAGTCTGTTAAAAAGCTAGTTCTAATGCTAAACAAATGTAATAATTATTGAATAGTGAATAAGAGTTAGACAAATATATCTAAAAGTTGATGTTTCCTTATACATTTTGTAATATTGTTTATGGGTTTGCAGGGGCATCCCCGGCTAGAGGCTAATGCTGTTTTGGGGGCCTTGGCATGGAAAAGTTTGGGAACACCTGGTCTTTACACTGAAGAGAAGAAAGAAAAAAAAGCACTGCTCAGCTGGTAATATTCTGTGACCTTTATAAGAAAGTTTCCTTAGAGAGGAGCCACGGACTGTGTGGTATGCAGAACGATGGGGATCAAGATTCCTCAAGCCCTCAAGGTCAGGTCCATTCCGCTGCATTTAAGATGGGTTCAGATATTAGCATGGCCCCCTAGAAGAGGCCTCTTGATATTACAACAGAGCAGTCAAAGCCCCACAGAGACTTGCAGGTTTCTGCAGACACACGCTGACTGAATAGACAAAACAGACTCTTAAATATTCACACTTGGCCATGGAAACAGCCGAGCAGTGTGCTCATCATGCTGTCCTTTTGGTTGAAGAGAACAATAATGTAGTCCTTGAAGGTCTTTAACAGTTTTCTAAATATCCCGATAGCTGACAGAATCCATCCAAAAGACTCCATTCATGGATGAGCTCGTCTCCCCCTTACTTCTGGCATTTTCACCCAGACATACAGTATTTCAGCACCAAGACGGTTTCTTTGGAAAAGCTCAAGGTGACAATAAAACAAGACTAATCTGTGGTGCAATGTCAAGACAGGTTCCTTTCAGGAAAGAGAAATTGAAGTTCAGAGCGGTTAAAAAGGTGCCTGGGGTTATCAACGTGTGTTTTTAGGTCATTTCTCATGTGATATGGCTCAGTCTGAGGGGAAGAAAAATATCCTCACCTGCACAATGTTGACAAGACATGAGGTTAATGGGGCCATGTGGCCAGTCTGGTGTTATCTGGACAGACAGCTATATATGGAAGGAAAGTGGGACTGTTTTCCCAGAATGCCTCTGAAAGGAAAGTGTTTTACTTGTGTGGATTATTGGCGAGTTAGAGTCAACTTTGCCCTCGATTTGGTGACAGATAATAGAGAGCACTCCGATCAACCTCRCCACTTTCCAAGCGTTAAGGCAAGTAGCTCTTTTCCTCTCCATTTGTTCACCTCTTTCCTGCTGTAATATGATGCCAATTCTACATGAATGATCTTACTCAGATTACAACACCGGTGGCATAGCAACGTGAAAGCGCCAACGCTGACCTTCAAACTGGTTTAAAAACACTGTTTGGAAGTGGAACATTTCAATTCTCATGCAGACTCCATAATTATCTATTCTTTTACCGTCTGTTCACTGAGTGCAGGAAACTGGCCCGGTCCGGTCTCTAAGTTCAAGCGGCACAAAACAATGGCAACCAAATGTTAAAGAGGAAGCGTGTGGAGACGGTCTGAATGATAGTCCGATTTTCAGGCGCTAAAGAAAGGAGGTTGTTACTCATACTAGAAGGAGTTGAAAGGAAACAACAGAAGTGATATTTTACAAAAAGAGGTTTACTGCTTTGTTTCCTGCCTTCAGAGGCCCATCAAAGAGRGGAAGTATGTATCCTAAGACAAAATGAGACAAAGGGGAATTTTAAACCTTTTTGTAACTTCTTATACTGGCAAATAAAGTCAAAAACAGAGCCAGGGAACGCAATAAAAAACATTCAGACTGTAATAATCCACCGAAGTTTATTTATTTTTAAGCACAACGCTGTCAAAAATAAGAAGCTCTAGTGTTGATTTGCAATCACATCTCCAAAAACACCTCAGACACTGTGCAATGACTAAATCTGACTCACTTCTACATGACCTACAATAATTTAGATAAACAAAGCATTAGGTAACATGGATTACTTTTTCACTCCCCATCTTTGAGATAACCTCTTCAGAGAAAGAATTAGCTTCACATCGAGTACCAACAATTTTCTTATTAGAATTGCTGTCATTAACTCACATTATCTCAGCAGATTATATCCTAATAGATTATTACTTATCTGCTGTAGAGGATGTTAATGAAGGTCTCAAGTAGATGGAAAATGAAGATGGACCAATCTGAACTAAACTAAATTTGATGTTTGCCTYCCAGGACCATTGGTATTTGATTTAGGGTAAAACATTAACAAAGCAGTGCTTTAAGGTCTACAGGAAGTTCCTGCAACATATTACTAAAGAATATTATGGGTTATTAGTCAGGAGGTCAAAACTCTTATCAAGTTCAAAACATTAAGAATTATGAATGCATGTAAACAAAAAGGCACACAGAGTTTAAGAGTAATTGAACACAGCTTCAAAAAATTAATCCTTTAAAAAGATAAGCTATCACCACTTGTCAAATTATAAAAAGTGAGGGATTTTTTTAATCCCTTTCAGTCCATTCTGTAAACTGAACACAGCAATCAGAGTTCAGAAAGGACAGTTTTAAATTGGTGCAGACTTCTTAATTTGTGGCAAGTGGCATTAATCCACGGAGGATAAGAGAGCTAAAACAAATAAACAGAGGTATGGTTGTCACAAGAAATGGATTATGATTCAGGCTCCAGCTTTACTGCTCTTATGGGAATTAATTTCACACACCAAGCAGTTTAAAAAAAATGTTAGAGACAATTTCACAAATCCAAAAAAGGATTTGTTTCACCAAKTTATCTTCAAAAAATGGGTACAATCATCCCGGATCCATGTTTGCTGATGACTTATTTAAGGCTATTTCTTCAACA